GTCATCTTGTACGGCCGTCCAGCTCCAGCAGAACATAGCACACTCCATCCATGCTCCAAATTGGCATTGATATGCGAACAAGCATGGCGGCAAACTGTCACCGATGCCGTCCATGCTCTATTTCGCACTGGCAAGGGGACAAGCATGGCAGCACAGCTTCACACATGCCATCCACCCTCCGGCCTGTACTGGTAGGTCGGCGAGCATGGCGGCAAAGTTTCGCACACGCCGGCCACGCCGCAACGTGTACTGGCAAGTGAACAAGAGCATGGCAGCAAAGCTGCACAAACGCCATCCATGTGCCAACCTGTGTCGGTGAGCGACAGAGCACGGCAGCACACAGTCACACACATCGTTTTCTGTACTTGGAGGCATGCTCCAGCCTGCACTAAAAAGCTAACAGCTAACAGGTGCGGTAGAAAAGCTTCGTACATGCCGTCCAAGCTCCAGCCTGTACTGGTGAGCGAACCAGCATGGCCGCAAAACTTCACACACGCCATCCGTGCTCTAACCGTACTGGTAAGCGAACAAGCACGCAGCAAAAATTGTCACACACGCCGTCCATGCTCCAATCTGTACCGGGTCACTTGGTGAGCGCACAAGCGCGGCGGCAAAGCTTCACACATGCCGTCCATGCTCCAGCCTGTACTGGAAAGCGAACAGGCATGGCAGCAGATTTTACACATGCCGTCTATGCTCCAGCCCGCGCTGGTAACCGAACAAGCGCGGCAGCAAGACTGCACACACGCCGTCCATGCTCCAACTTGCACTGGCAAGCGACAGCAAAACGTCACACATGCTGCCCATGCTCCGACCTATACTGGTGAGCGAGCAAGCATGCAGCAAAAGTCGCGCACGCTGTCTTTGCCCCAAGCTGGACTTGGTGAGCACACAAGCGCAGCAGCAAAGCTTCACACATGCCGTCCATGCTCCAGCCTGTACTGGAAAGCGAACAGGCATGGCAGCAGATTTTACACACGCCGTCTATGCTCCAGCCCGCGCTGGTAACCGAACAAGCGCGGCAGCAAGACTGCACACACGCCGTCCATGCTCCAACTTGCACTGGCAAGCGACAGCAAAACGTCACACATGCTGCCCATGCTCCGACCAAAACTGGAGAGCGAGCAAGCATGCAGCAAAAGTCGCACACGCTGTCGTTGCCCCAAGCTGGACTTGGTGAGCACAGAAGCGCAGCAGCAAAGCTTCACACATGCCGTCCATGCTCCAGCCTGTACTGGAAAGCGAACAGGCATGGCAGCAAGTTTTAAACGCGCTGTCCATGCTCTAGCCTGTGACGGTAACCGAACAAGCGCGGCAGCAAGACTGCACACACGCCGTCCATGCTCCAACTTGCACTGGCAAGCGACAGCAAAACGTCACACATGCTGCCCATGCTCCGACCTATACTGGCGAGCGAGCAAGCATGCAGCAAAAGTCGCACTCGCTGTCGTTGCCCCAAGCTGGACTTGGTGAGCACACAAGCGCAGCAGCAAAGCTTCACACATGCCGTCCATGCTCCAGCCTGTACTGGAAAGCGAACAAGCATGGCAGCAAGTTTTAAACGCGCTGTCTATGCTATAGCCTGTGACGGTAACCGAACAAGCATGGCAGCAAAACTTGACACATGGACGTCCAACTAGGCCTGCCCGGCACGAGCGGTATAGGCACGTGAGTCCTGCAAACTGTGTCTACGCCAAGTGCCAGCTAAACAATCAGACTGTCACGAGGCACAATCGGAGCCTGAGACCTGCACAGTACGATGATGCTCCGGCCGCCTTCTAGCAAGACGCACGGTCGAGTAGCACTCAAACCTTCACGGTACACGGGCAGCATTGCGATGATGCGAAGTCCCAGCTAGCAAACTGCACGGTGGAGCCGGTAGAGCTGCGCTCCGACCCGCACGATACACAGGCAACCTGAGCGCCAGCGAAATGCACAAAAGAGCGGAAGCGCTCAGACCGACCCCAAACCAGGGCCAGGCAGCTTCCAGCGAAAGCACCGCGCCATCGAAGCCGGCATCACCACATGCGACACCGTCCCACCGACCAGGAATGCAGAACAAGCTTGATAAGACACCTGCCATTGCGATCAGCACATTGCCAGCGCCGCCCTAAGCGAGCACGGATCCCTGCAAAAGCCCAGGCAGCAAGTGCAGAAGCTTGCATCAGCAGCACATTGAAGTTCGTTTTTGCAATACAGCAGGGAACTCGACTTGAGCTAGGCAGTGCCGTGTTGCAGGAGGCAGTTGCAGCACATGAGGTTTGGAGCACATGTCGCCGACAAAAGCCGCAGAAAGCCACGTGATCACAGATCCATCAGCCAGGATTGCAGTTGAGCAACCTACCACGTGTACGCAAATCCACCACGAAAGCTTTGACTGCAAAGGCATAGTTTGCTGCACAGCTTGCAGCTGATCCTCTATTGCACGGCTGGCGTGTGACCACTGAAACATCACCGCGGAAGCAGCCGCGACGCAAAAGTCAGAGGCCGGGAGCAGAACGACTGCTGTCGCCACTGGCACAGATCCATTAGACAGGATTGCAGTAAATGCACCAGCACAAAGTGCGGACAGCTGAGCTTTACTGTCATCACAACCGAGGTGGGCATCATTTGATGCAACAAAAAAATTCATCAACGAGTTCTGTATGTCACTCTTTTCGCCATCATAGCCGGCACTGCCCCAAGTGACCACACATCCGCACATAGGAATCCGGCAAAGGCATCACAAGAAGCTTGGATCTGCTGCACACCTCGCGGCTGATTCAGCCGGGCTGCCGCCTCCACCAAAGTCCGCATGAGCTTTTGCTTCTGCGGAATATCGCAAACCGCTATGAAGCAAAATATCCAGCTGGCGAGGCCATCACAATGAACAGACAGAGCCTGGGCCCTGCACACTGCAATGACGCGATGCGAAATGCCAGGAAGCAAGAATGCACGCAGAACTGAGGCTGGGCCCTGCAAACTGCGACGATGCTGCGAGAAGCCGACTCACGAGATGCACGGCAGAGCCGAAGAGCCCAGACCGGCTAATACACAAACGGAGCCTACGCCCTGAACGGAAAGCCCCCAATGAACCGGCCGAGCCTGAGCCCCAGTAACAGCGCTGCTGTGAAGTGCCACCCAGCGAGATGCATGGTCGAGCTGAAGGACTCAGACCGGCACACAACACTGGCCAGAAAGATGGCATCGAAGGCACCACGAGAGGCTTGGGTCTGCTGCAGTACTCGCAGCTGATCCCGTACTGCACTGCTGTCGCTGTCGGAAGTCGGCACAACTCCATTGTCACCACTGATCCATCGACCGTATTGCAGTATTTGAGTAGCAGAGCATCGCACGGCTGATGCTACACACCTCTGCTGCCACAAAGTCGGCATTGGCCCAGGCGAGCCGAGCTTACATGCATTCCGCAAAAAAAAAACCGTGGAACAAACCCTTCTCTAACTTAAGGTGTCCGGGGGCGGACACTTTAAGTTGCTCATAAAAACAAGACGTACAAACAGTTCGTTAACTTAAGGTGTCCAAGGGCGGACACTTTAAGTTACAGTTACAAACAGCATGGACTTCATAAGACCAGCCCACATAGCTAAGACCCAAAGCTGAGTCTGTGTCGTGGAGCATTCCAAAGATAGGACGATCAACATACCCCTGTTGGCAAAGGGATAAGAGGATGTCATGAGCGTGAGGATGTCTACACCGCAGCGAGGCTGCCAAGCTTGCCACATGAAGCCTGGGTCTGTTGCACATTCCTCAGCCGCACCTACATAACACTGCTGATTCCCGCAAATAAGCGGCACCTCAGGCGACCACTCCGGCATCGTCGAGGTGCACCGTCCAGGCTTGCGGCAAACGCACGCAAAAGCTTGGAATCTTTTCGCAGCTAACCCTGTAGTGCACAACTGTCGCCGCCGAAGTCAGCCTGCACCAGCTGCACACTGAAGCTAGCAATACTCTTATGACATCCGTGACAAGGCAAGCCTTGTTAATCCTGGATTATTTAATTTTACGGTTTGAATACGATACCGAGTACGATTCCAAAATACGATTACAGGTTCCAGTACGATTCCAAAGTACGATTTGAATACGATACCAAGTACGATCGCAGGACCATGTACAAGTTCCAGTACGATTCAAACTACGATCCCAAGTACACTCACAATTGACGCACCATCGGAAACGGACTGGACGGACTAGACTATTTCGGTCATGGATTACCATAGGAAACACTGCCTCGGAGTCTTGCGAGCTTGCATTCCGAGAAGTCAAGGCTTTTACTCTGGAGTATGTTTCAACTGTTCTCGGACCTTGAAGTTCTGCTGATGCAACTCAATTATGCGTGTCCTCCACAGCTTCTTCAAATTGCCAGAAACGTCCATGGAGACTCGCCGACCAAACCAAGCCATATCTGAAATGATATGCCATATCTACAAAGCAGGCCATCGAACAATGCAGCGCACCTCACCTTTTCACTGCTGCGCCGATCTGTGCATGGGCAGCCGTCTGAAATCCTGACCACATGTGGCGGATGGCCTGGTGGAGGTCCTTAACCCAGTACGCTAACTCTCCAATCGAGCTGGGAAGAACATGCTAGCTCTTCCAAACTCAAAAGCGAAAGACAGCAAACCCCAACTGTCCTACCCGGTCCTACCCGCCCGAAGAGCATGACTAGCGGACTAGCGGTCATCCACGACCCCTCTCACCAAACCATCAGAAGGGCACATGGTTCCGGATATATGCACGAAAACGTGCGGTCAAGGGAACAGCACTTTAACTTGACACACCGTCATGCGCCTTTGCCGGAGGCCGTATTGCTAAACCTAGCCTAGCCATGCAATGGCCATACCAGTCAGTCAAAACTCAAACCTAAATCAGCTGGAAGCTGGCCCCTGACCGCAGCACTCAAGAGTTGCGACACTCTGGTCCTAGGGAGAAAAGTCGGCGCAGGCCGTACGGGTGCCATGAGCGGACCCCATCTCACAACACGCACAGTGGACTGCATCCGCTTAGCCGAACTTCTTGGCCTCCTCAAACAACTGTTTGAGGATGAGGTCATGGTGCGGCTTGCCATTCGCGATGCTGGCCAGCTCGGCACTCACGACCTTTTTGGCGGAATCCTTCACACGAACGTTGCACATGTTGTGCCACAACACTGCCTCGGTCTTCATCACTCGTGCAGCGTTGGTGTGCTCCTTCAGGGTGCGGACCTCCTGATTGAACCGAGTCCAGTGCGACAGCACTGCATCCTTGTCCTCATCCTCATCCACCAGTGAGGTCACGACGCTGGAAAGCTCATCCGCCTTGTCGAGCACCTGTGCCGGGTTTGACTGCTGGGTCGGCTTATCGCATCTGATGCAATGGGGATGATGGAGGAGATCGGACATCGCTTCTGGTTGAAGTCGCTGAAAAAACCTGCTCCGCTACACTGCAACACTTCTACAATTCTACAACACTCTACTGAAACTCTACTCTACGACTCTACGACTCTACGGATCACTACTGGCACACCACACCGTTGCTTATATGCCGTCGCGAGCATGACATTACAAAGACATGGTCAGTTGAGATTCGCAGCCTGGTCAGCTTCCGTCACATGCTTCTGCACGACCAGGCCCTTCACGGAGGCCAGGTTTGCTCTCGCTGTCCGGTACACCTCATCCAGACTCGAAGCATCCGTCAAAGCCTTCTTCCATGATGTCGCTGGCATATGCAAATCATAGGCATCCGCCTGGATCGCTGAGACCAAAGACACGGCATTGTTCGCAGTCTCAGCTAGAACATACGACAACACATCAGTGACATCTGGAGGGAGCTGGCCGATGGATGGCACGGGGATCATCTGCGTACATGGCAAGTCTGCGTCGTTGGCGTCCGGAACGTTGACCCGCACATCGGACAGCTTGGTGGCAAATGTCGTGATGTTCCGGTGGGACTGCACCAGGCCGAGGAGCTTCTCGTGGTCGGGGTCAGCCTCCACACGGGCCGCTGCGTCCTTGCCGCCTGCAAGAAAGCTCCTGGTCTGCTGGAGATGCTGTTGGCCATCTCGCAAGATCTTGAGGAACTTGATGAGCGTCTGGCGTGTGAAGGTCTGGCTCTTCAAAATCTTCTGAATCAGGTCCTGTGCAATGTTGAAGCACTGGCCTGTGATCATGGCTCCGCCGGTTGGCACTGCCGCCATCTGCAAGGCCCAGAAAAACAAAGCTGCCACAAAAGTCTTTTAGAAGATTCTAATGATTCTCGTGTACCAATGTACTTTAGTCAGTCACAACTTTAGCATAAGTAGTAGTAGTAGTGGTTCCACTGGACACAAAATGACAAAGGATCCAAAACTACTCAGTGGTTCAATGGCCCCAAGGCTTCTGCAAGTGTATCCGAAGTGCTATGTCTGCTATGTCTATGTCTATGTCATGTATACCTGTACCCTTCTGGAGCATCTCCGTCCTCCGACCAAATGTCGAACAAAACCCCCTTCCCGCCTGATCGGACAAGTGGAGCAGAACATTGCGAAGCAAGCTCCCCAAGGCAAGCGAGTCTCGTCCAGTCTCGCCGTGCTCGCCGATGTCCAAACACGACTGCTGGGCCCGCAACAGAAGGTCGCCGACGTGAGCAATGCTCACGGACGCACGACCGCCCTCACTGCTGTTCTCCACTGCGTACTCGATCAAAGACAGCTTGTTCATCTCCGCCGCCTTGCTGGCACTCCACTCCTGAAGCCGACGGCGGGAGTCGGCAACACCATCATGGTCTGGCGACACGAGGGCCATGAAATGATCCAAGGTCTCGATCATCTTGCGCCCCGTACTCTGGGCATCCGATTCGCACAGCTTATTCACGATCTTCAGCAGTCGGGGGACCAGCACCTCCTCCAACTTCCCAGTAGTGCCTGACCTCAGCTTGGTGCGACCCTGCAGCACAAGCTGCACAGCCTCCAAGAAGGGCTGGTCCAGGCAATCCTGCTCTTCTGCTCCTGTGATCTCTGCAACGGCAGACCGGATTGAGGGCAACATCTCCTTCGTAGCGACAGCTGTGCGGACAAACTCCTGGTAAGCCGGGATCCACAAGTCGTGCTCGCTGAGGATGATCTGCAAATTCGACTCCAGCGCCACCTTGGCATCCTTGCTCTTGACGAGCTGGATCACACTGTCCAGCGATTGCATGGGCCAGTCGGCCGCAGGATCGATTAGCACCCAAAGTCCACAAAGGCACTTGTGAACACAACGCACTGCCTTGAACACAGCCTTGGGCAACTTTTTCAAGGACCCGTCCTGCTCGGCCTCCCAGACAGCAGCGTCGAAAGCGGTGCACAACATCACGAGCCCCTCGTTCTTCGCATGGCCCTTGCGCACCATCTTGAAGAAAGCGTCGCAGGACCAGGTTGACAGGTAGGACGCCACCAACTCCTCCGTCAGAGCACTGGCGAGTCGCGAGGGCCGGGCCTACACTATAGACCCATGATGTACGAATGTCTTTGTGCACACGAGGGGGGGAAGAAATGCAATCTCAATTCTACTTGGACTTAGACTCTACTGGACTCTACTCGACTCTACTTAGTGTCACAGCTGCAAGGACTGCTACGGCTACGGCTGGGCAGGACTCGCCCCCCTTCCTGGCCTCAAGCGGCTTGCCCTTCTGCCCACTCTGCTTCCCTGCCGGCACATCATCGAAAATCAAAGCCTCGGGATTCTCCTCGTCCTCTAAGGCAGCCTGGTCGAGGACGGTCGCGAGGAGAGAACCAAACGAAGGACTCGTCAAGGAAAAGCCCGAGTCGCTGGAGCGCCAAATCTCCATGTTCTTGATCAGTGACTCGTACTCGCTCACGTTGTGCCGGGCTTTCTCTGGACTGGTCGCCAGGCTGTGAAACCCTTCCGTACACATCCTCTGCGTCACCTGCAGCTGGAAGCATAGGGGGACCTCCACCTCGGCATCTTCAAACATCTTCAGAGACAGGGTCAAGTCTCGCAAGTTCACTTTGTTCACGCCTTGCACCACGATCGCTCGGGCTTGCTTGCACATGTCCAAGCGCTTCTTCAAAATGATGGCTTCCACCATGTCGGCTTTCTTCATCGTCTCGAGCAACGTTCCAGCCTGATGCGATATTCCACGAACATGCACAGTCCCGGTCTAACTTTCCAGGTTCTCGCCTAATTCTGTCTGTAAGAACAAACTCTCAAATCTGTTACTTAGACTCAGACCCTGGGACTCTAAGATCATTGTGTGACGGTGCAAGAAAAACTCTGAAATCTATATAGAATCTAGAATCTAGAAACCCTGGATTCTACAGAATCTAGAATCTAGAACCTAGAATCTAGAATCTAGACTTTATATAGTTTGGGCACCAACAGCTGTGGACTCTAGACTCTAGAAAGTCCACTGAAAACGGAAACATTGGTCTGCGCCTGCAGCCCTCCACTGACTACTCCATGTCCCTTGGTTTCATTGCTCCTCTCTATATGTCCCCCTCTCCTTTCTCAGCTTCTCTGTGCAACTCTTGACTCTATGCCCACAACGCCGTCACTGCGCTAAATCCGATCCACTTTCTCTCGCCCGCTCTCTCTCTCTCTCTCTCTCTCTTTCCGTCTCTATCTCTCTCTCTCCCCCGTCCCTCTCTCCCTCTCCCTCTCTCTCACCCACCGTCTCTCTCTAAAAAGCTCGTCACACAATCTCTCTCTCTCTCTCTCTCTCTCTCTCCCTCTCTGTCTCTCTCTCTCTGTCTCTCTCTCTCTCTCTCTCTCTCTCTCTCTCTCTCTCTCTCTCTCTCTCTCTCTCTCTCTCTCTCTCTCTGTCTTTCACTTTCCATTTAAAAAAAACCTGCTCTTCTGGCGAGTCTCCGGCTGGGAGCCACTGTATGGAATGGGACATGTGGCAACACGCAGACGTAGACAGTCCTAGACTGTAGCACTGTCGTGTGGTGTAGTGTAGTGTGCGGTAGCGTCTAGACTCGACTTCTGGACTCTAGGACTCTAGGCGCTACACTCTAGACTCGACCGTGTAGATGTAATTATAGACTCAGTGACACAACCCTTGGACTCAGCTCCAAACTCCTCGAAGGCTGCGTCCATCTCCCTGTCCTTCCAGGTACAAGCGGACAACCAAGCCCTTCAAGCAAACCGGCGTCTTGTCGAAGCGTTGGGCCACTTCTCTCATGTCCTTGTCCAGCATACTGGGGTTCACCTCCTCATCCTGGAAGAATGAGATCGTCGAGCCCGGCATGCTTTTGATCTCGTCGTCGGAGTCTTGCCCTGCTCCACGCTTCTTGCTGCGAGCCTTGGCTTGCGGACGACCAGTAGCACCTTTACTGCCAGCACCCGCGCGCTTCTTGTCCGTCACGTGGTTGTCGAAGTCATCCGTCGCGAAAGCAGGCGTCACATCCCTTCCTTCCATGCCCTCCTCGGACTCCGGCTCGGAAGCTGCATCCCCCTCCGCCCCTGAGTCCTCTGCCGCGGCTGCTGCCGCGGCGGCCTCCTGGTCGGCCATGCGTTGGCTCACGACCTTCTGCGCCTCCTGAAGGTAGTGGTCCATTGGCTTGGCCCCGTGCTTGGCGGGAGGAAGCAGCCCCGGATAATCCTCGCGACTGGAACGCTTGCTCCAGGCATGATCGAACTGCATCGCCGCCTGCTCCATCCGCAGCTGTTTGGCTGCGATGAGGAGGAGGTCTTCCTTTCGGGTACTCAAAGAGCAAAACACTTGCATTCTCCTCATGCTGTGAATTCTTCCGCACGGAAGTCCATCGAGCGAGACAATGTACATAGATTGCGTCGTTCCGTCCTCGAGCTTCGTCTTGATTGTCTTCATCTTGTCTTTCAACGGCCTGGTGGTAATGGATGCATTATCCAACGCCTCTCTCATCTCTGCCTCAGAGAGAAGGCCGACTTCAAAGAAGACGGAAAATCCCCGCTGTTCCATCTCTAGCACATTCGATGGGCGCACCAGGTCTGCACTCTTCTCCCCGAGCTTTACCTTTCTCGCGGCAAGGAAGGCAGTCTTGAAGAGCTTGCTTGCACTCTGCCTGATCCGTGTCAAGCTGATAGTTACTGATAGTTCTTTGATATAGTTTGGTTTGATTAGATTACACTGATTACACCTGATCCGGCAGCATGTCCGTGCAGCTCGCAGCCACAATGATCACTATAAGTCATTAGTGATTAGTGACTAGTGACTTGGCCACCAGGCCCCACAACGCTGTCAACATTCACTGCAGTCGAGCCACTCGCACGCCCACTGCCAACCGCATCCTGGCCACCCCTCCCCGAGCACCATGATGCAGATCAAGCAGCCGTCAGTAATGGCAACTTTCAATGGATCTTGGGTCGCGAAGGCGACGGCGTGGGGTCCCTGCACTTCATGCTCTGCGCGCTGTACAACAATAACATACTTTACTTAACTTTATTTTACATTTGCACTGTACACTGTACTCTTTACACTTTACACTTAACTTAGTGGGTGTTAGGAAAACCAAGACATCAGACTGTGACTTAAAACTGCTTACAGGGCGCACTGTGTACATTATACAACGACTTTACCCTCCATACTACACTACTCACTACTCCGTACCATACCTGTCTACATTCCATTCTGCGACTTTATCCACGATACTCACTGATTATATACGAATACACTTACTAGTTGCTACAGTTACTACAGTATACTCAGTATACTCACCACCCACTCCACTCCACTCCACTCCACTCACTGACTCGCTGTACACTGTTTTGGCAAGGATTCTGCGCACCTGGTTGGTACACTTGCAGATGAAGCAAACCTTCAGGCCAGTTTCACCATCCGCGCCCCTCTTCACCCCCACCACCAAAGCTTGGCTGCCACTGCCACTGCCGCTGCCTCTCAGCACCAAGGCCTCTGTAGCAGCATTCTTTGCCTTCTTCTTCGGATGCACTGCCGGCACCGGCGGTGTCTCCTGAAACAAGTTTCGTCACTCCACGCACGGCCGCTCCGAAACAAAGAAGGCAACCAACGCACTACTGACTACTGCTGACTACAGCTGCCAATTGAAGCACCTGTAGCAAGATCCCTTCCAACTGACTCTAGGATTCTAGCTCCGCATGTTGGAAAATCCCGGCTCCTGCGGCATTTCCTGTTGCTTGCCTTTTCGGCGTGTCCCGGCCATGGGGCTGCGGGCTGCAAAGGATCAGTGATCGCGAGCGGACACCGACACTACGGCATCCCAGCTGCGGAGCTGACTTGTGCTCTGTGGCAGAGGCACGGAACAAGAGCATTGGGGAAATCTAGCGAGAACGGCAAAGAGTGATGGGCCCCGGGGCCCTTGAAGACATTCTCATGTGCTCAAAACTTGACGGAGACCGATGCGAGGGTGCTGTTTTGCAATCACAGAACTATCCTGACCGCACAGGCACGGGGCTACTGAATGCTCCATCTCCCACAAGCTCCAGCAGACTGTATCCAGGAGATTGCTGTAATGACTGTACTGACTGCACTGTAATGACTGCGGTGATTTGATTCCTAATTATGACTGTGACTGTGTGACTATGGTTATGTCGGCGCGACAAGCCGACAACTGGACTGTTCACTGGGCTTCGCAGAACAAGCCCCGCACAGACCGAGCAACATCGACACACACGAGAATCAGGAGAAGCTGTTTTTCTTGCCAGAAGGCTGCTGGAGCTGCGTGGGGCATGATGCCGTGGATCATACCACGGCCATTACCACACAAAAGGGCTGATCTGATGTTTCGCTCAGGACACGATGAAAACGCCTAGAGCTAGAGCGGCTAGCGGCTAGAACTCGCTATGCATGTGCTGCAAGAACTAATCAAGACTATAGACTCTAGTGACTAGACTCGAGACTCTAATGACTCTAAATGTTCTCTAACTCTAACCGACTCTAGCCGCTGTGGCCGCTAGCCGCTAGCCCTTAATAAACCTTAGCCGTTGTCAGTAGCCACCGTCACACTATAGCCAAATTTACACACACACACACAGCTACAGGTCACATGAGCAGCATCAGACTCGTTCGGCTGGAAGCGCTCTTCTCATCATGACTCTATGTACAGCATGTATGGAACATACATAGCATCGACCTCCTGACTTCACTTGTCATGACCCAGTCACTACTCACTACTCACTACTCAGTCACTACTACTCACTCCCTGACGAATGCCCAAGAGCTCTTCCTACCGACTGCTGCGCATGCGCAGCAAGATGCACCAAAACGCCCCTGGCACCTAGCACCTGGCAGCGACTAGAGTCAGAGAGCTGCTGCTGCTACCCTGCTAGGTCTGCTAGGTGCTTCTATTCAGACTACAGTCTAGAGGTGCTGCTGAAGCTTGCTAGGTGCCACGTCTGCTGAGTCTGCTGGGGCCTCATCGGCTGGACTCAGCTGGCAGCTCGCAGCTAGAATCCGATTTGGTGGTACGAGGTGACTCAATCGTCGCTGAGACATCCAAAGCGTCTTGTTACATACAAGGACCAAATGATGCTGCCCAGGCAGGGCAACGCAAACCCTTCTCCTGCCAAGGCCCGGAGTGCTGCCCCCGACATGTTCGCTGGAACAATGGTGTCGTGCGGGTAGGAGTGCAGGTACAGATGCTCCTCCGGCCACAGGACGTCCTTCCGATCGCACGAATAAATCATTGAGCCCGTGGTCAAAGCCCTGTGCCGCTGGTTCGTGAAGCAACGCCTAGAATGCGACTGCGACACATCCACAAGGATGCCCCGCATGCAATGGTTCACATCCCAGTCACTAGCCTTTGCCGGAATCTTGCCCTGTCGGGACAATCTCTCCGCGCAAATGCAATCCAGCAAGTCCAGCTGGCGCTGCGTCAGGCCTGCGCATGCATGCCTGCTCGTCCACGGCTTGCACGTAGCGGCCACATTCATTTCTGCGCGCCAGGCAGCGCTGTCTCGTCTCCAAGCAAGGTCCTGACTGTCTGGAACCTGCAACACAGGGCAGCCGAATCCCAGCTCCCTTGACTCTAGCTGCTCTAAACTGTAGCTATTCACTAGAATCACGGAATCAGTAGAATCTAGAACCTGCAAGATTTCAACAATACAGAAGAAGCACAGTTACAGTTACAGTAATACAGTAATGGT